TTGTAGTGCCAGAAAGTAAAAAAGTGCTCAAAAACAAAACCAAACCAAACACACAGTGATGGGGATATGTGAAAAGGTCACATGAACACCCAATGGCGAATGCAATTTGAGCAACAAAATAAAGTATTATTACATTATAACCCAAAGTATCAAGTACATGTCTAGGAGTCCATACTAAATGATTGAACAGGCTGTGCACGGTGGCTCACGCCTGTAATCCCAGCATTTTGGGAGGCCAAGGCGGGTGGATCACCTGAGGTCAGGAGTTCGAGACCAGCCTGACCAACATGGTGAAACCCTGTCTCTACTAAAAATACAAAATTAACCGGGCATGGTGGCTGGTGCATGCCTGTAATCCCAGCTACTTGGGAGGCTGAGGCAGGAGAATCACTTGAACCGGGCAGGCGGAGGTTGCAGTGAGCTAAGATTGCGTCACTGCTCTCCACCCTGGGCAACAAGAGCAAAACTCCGTTTCACAAACAAACAAACAAACAAAAAAAAAGATTGACTAAATAAATGAACAGGAGAGAATAGGTAAATCTCCCATGCAGAACCATTCCAAATAATTTATGTAGATACTCCATCCTCAAGGAGTTGCATAAAAATCCCTACTTAACTGTAGGCTCCACATAGTGACTTCCCTTTGGAAGGTGTAGTATGAAAAGAGGAAAAGCCCGGGCACAGTGGCTCACACCTGTAATCCCAGAACTTTGGTAGGCTGAGGTGGGTGGATCTCAAGGTCAGGAGTTCGAGACCAGCCTGGCCAACATAGTGAAACCCCATCTCTACTAAAAAATAATTAGCTGGTGTGGTGGTGCACATCTGTAATCCCAGCTACTTAGAGACTGAGGCAGGAGAATTGCCTGAACCCGGGAGGCAGAGGTTGCAGTGAACCAAGATTGTACCACTGCATTCCGGCCTGGGCAACAGAGTACAACTCCATCTCAAAAAAATAAAAAATAAAAAATAAAAAAAAAGAAAGAAAGAAAAGAAAAGGGGGGAAAAGGGTAACTTTACAGTGGAGAAATCTGACAAAACCTTCCTCAGCCAAATGATCAAAGTCAACCTCAGTAGTGACAGGTCATGTTGATACTATGTAACTTTGATATGATGTGATGAAAATGACACTTCATCCATATCTTCCTCCCCAAAACCCATAACCCCAGTCTAATCATGAGAAAAACATCAGAACAATCCCAGTTGAGAGACACTCTGCAAAATACTTGACCAGTACTCCTCAGAACTGTCAAGGTCTTCAGAATCAAGGAAAGTCTGCCACTCTGTCACAACCAAGAGGAACCTAAGGAGATATGACACCATGCAATGTGGTATCCTGGAACAGAAAAGACAAGAAAATCTGAATAAAATTTGGGCTTTAGTCAATAATGATGTATCAATATTAATTCTTTAATTGTGACAAATTTGCTGTACTAATGTGTTAATAGTAGGAGAAAGTAGGTTTGGGATATATGGGACTCTATATTATCTTTACAATTTTTCTGTAAGTCTAAAACTATTCTAAACTAAAAGCCTATTTAAGAAAGAAGCTGGCTGGGTGTGGTGGCTTACGCCTGTAATCTCAGCACTTTACGAGGCCAAGGTGGTCAGATCCCTTGAGCCCGGGAGTTCAGGACCAGCCTTGGCAACATGGTGAAACCTCATCTCTAAAAAAAAATTAAAAAAATTAGCCAGGCATGGTGGTGCGTGCCTGTAGTCTCAGCTACTTGGAAGGCTGAGATGGGAGGATTACCTGAGCCCAGGGAGGTAGGGGCAGTGAGCCATGATCATGCCACTGCAGAGAGTGAGACCCTGTCTCAAAAAAACAAAACAAAAAAAAAGGGCTGGGCATGGTGGCTCATGCCTGTAATCCCAGCATTTTGAGATGCTGAGGCAAGCAGATCACAAGGTCAGGAGTTCGAGACCAGCCTGACCAACTTGGTGAAACCCTGTCTCTGCTAAAAATACAAAATTAGCCTGGCATAGTGGCATGTGCCTGTAATCCCAGCTACTCAGGAGGCTGAGGAAGGAGAATCACTTGAACCCGAGAGGCGGAGATTGCAGAGAGCCGAGATTATGCCACTGCACACCAGCCTGGGCAACAGAGTGAGACTCCCTCTCAAACAAAAAAAAAAAAAAAAATAAAAAAAAAAAAAAGAAAGAAAGAAAAAGAAAAAAAAAGCAAAAAGAGGCCGGGCACGGTGGCAGGCGCGGTGGCTCACACTTGTAATCTCAGCACTTTGGGCAGCCGAGGTGGGCGGATCACGAGGTCAACAGACTGTCTCAAAAAAAAAAAAAAAAAAGAAAAAAAGGGAAAAAAGAAGTAAACCAGTTATTTAGTGGAGAATGACTGATTAGGCCCAGATGAAGAACAGAACATTTCAAAGTTGGACTTTCCAGCCTATAAAAATAGGCTATTAACATCAGTGGAGACTAAAAATACAAAGAGTAAGAAATAGTTAATAGGTGTGTGTGTGTGTATGCATGCACTGTCCTGTTAGCTAAGCAAGTACCCACAACGCCAACTGTACACAGAGGTAGGGGCAGCTGACATCTGGGTGACAAAAACTACCCCCTTCCAAGCTCCCCTTCTGCCCACTGAATCTGAAGTCGAGAGGGCACTGTTAGGGGCCATTACTCTCAGTTTAGATAGTGTTTCTCACACTTGAGTATACAAATAGACTCCTTAAGAAAATATATTAATACTACCACAGATCCCTAAGAATTTGCCTAGTGACCCAAGTTACAGAAACTCTAGGTTTAGAACTAAAGTCTTAATCTAGGGAGCATCTTTCAGTTATGAATTGTCACTGCAAGAGTTGAATCTTTAGAATGGGTTAAATATTGTGTTTTATATGAAAGCTCACAATTAAAAAATGTTCCTGTTACTTGTAGCGCTCTGACAAAATTTCCCTGGATAGCCAGATAAGCAAGGATAGGATTGAGTGGTCAAACCCAAGAGAAAGGAAATGAAGAAAAAGGGCATAATTGTCGGGAGCCCTAGGAGGACAGCTGTGCAGGAACTCTAGGAGCAGCCAGCCCAGGAGCAGGTGGCTCTGGGAGGCAGGTCTTCAGGAAAAGAAGTGCAGCTGATAGTGATCTGATGCCTGGCCTATGAGGAAAACTGCATTTTGAGACATTTTGTTGATCATTTGCAACATTTGAGAAGAATGAGCAATAGGTATATACCAAAAAAGCAGCAGTTATTACTTTCAGAAAAAAACATTGTACAAAAGAGGAAAAGTATAGTGTACTGCTTGGCTCAGTGTGAACAGTATTTCTAGCATCATAATAATATAAACACTGAAAGTTAACGAAAATTGCGATACAATTATCTGAGGCGAATGAAGATGGGAAGATTATGTTTTTTTAATTTAATTTTTTTTTGAGACAATCTTGCCCTGTTGCCCAGGCTGGAGTGTAGTGGCGCGATCTCGACTCACTGCAACCTTTGCCACCCAGGCTCAAGCAATTCTCCTGCCTCAGCCTCCCGAGTAGCTGGGATTATAGGCACCCACCACTACGCCCAGCTAATTTTTGTATTTTTAGTAGAGATGGGGTTTCACCATATTGGCAAAGCTGGTATTGAACTCCTGACCTTAAGTGATCTGCCTGCCTCGGCCTCCCAAAGTGCTGGGATTAACGGGCATGAGCCACCGTGCTCAGTCAAAAATGAGAAGATTGTAAAAGTGCTAACTCTTTATGTAACATAATAGAAAGTCAATAATGTCTAAGATTAATAAATTAAGAAACAGCTTTAAAAAATGGGAAGTAGTTGCCTTTAGAGAGTAGGAATGGAAGTAGGGAAGGGTAAATCAAAACTGTTTTTCATTATAATCCTTTTAGTACTATTAGACTTTTAAAAGTCTGTGTTACTTTGCGTGTATACTTTGATAATAACAGAAAGACACAGCCAGCCTCCATTTGATTTCAAGTGAATTTGCTCAAATCTGAAGACACTCATTGCATACACACCTTGGATATAAGTCTTTAGGGTCTATGTTTGGAATGAGAACATTGTCTTCCTCTGTTAGTGGCGATGATACAGTGGCAAGATGTTGAGAACTATCTGGTTCTGAATTCTCCCCACTAACCAAATCCCATGAAATCATTAAAAATATAAAAATGTAAGATAGGCTTTGTTCAATTTCTCGCTAGGCCTTCTGCCAGATTCCCATCCTAGCTGTCTTGCCTGTTTTTGTTTGAGATGGAGTCTTGCTCTGTCGCCCAGGCTGGAGTGCAGTGGCACAATCTCAGCTCACTGCAACCTCCACCTCCCTGATTCAAGTGATTCTCCTGCCTCAGCCTCCCAAGTATCTGGGATTACAGGCGCCTGCCACCATGCCCAGCAAATTTTTGTATTTTCAGTAAAGATGGGGTTTCACCATGTTGGCTAGGCTGGTCTCGAACTCCTGACCTCAAGTGATCTGTCTGCCTTGGCCTCCCAAAGTGCTGGGATTACAGGCATGAGCCAGTGCGCCCGGCCACCTTGCCTAATTTGAATGTCCTGGCATGCAAATTCATAGTTAAACTCTGGACGGAAATGCTCAAACTACCAGGCAGTGAGGGTTTGACTGGGCTCACTCATGCTGTGGAAGTATGCTGAAGCCCACACCAGTCTGGAAAGAATGGAGTCCCTTATGCCCCATGTATAAGCATGGCAGTCCCTGACTTGTTTGAGTCCAGGGCGCCAAGCCTTGCAACAAGGGCCTATTCTCCATCCAGTGTGGACTGCTATGCTGGCTCACCTCCTTAAAGAGAACCTGTGTACTTATTATTTGCACAATGATTGATGAAGATTCTCTGCCCCTGTAATGCCAATTTCTGTATAAACAGGTTTCCTTCCCTCCAAAGAAACATGTCTATATTCTAAGCTAGAAGTTCTACATTAATTCCCTGAATTTTATGGATTAGGAGGGTGAATTTTCTTATTCTTGTACTCTACCCCCTAGAATCTTTACTACCCACGCAAATTTCAGAATGAATTTATAAGAAGACACCAATGGAGAGAACACCTTTATTGCAAAACAACAAACATGGGTGAAGAAGAGGCATGTGAAAACCAGATTAAGGTGGAAGAATCTTGGTGGGAGGAGAGGAGGAGAAAGCAGAGGCACTCTTGTAGCCATAAACTCATTTCCTTGTTGGCATCTGGGCTGCTCCCTCCTCATGCTCCCCTGAGACTTCTCTTTGCTTGGCTCATAGACTCACTGCTGGTCCTGCTTCCTTGTCTCACAGTCCCAGAGTGTTCCCTCCCCAAACCCGATGGAGGAGCACAGCTTCATACCCTATTGTGCGGGACAGCAGCTACTCAGAAGGTGTTACTTGGATTTTTTGCAGCTGTTAGTGATTCTGACACCCTTGGACCTCCAGGAGTGGCTCCTCCTGCCACGAGAGGACTCTGGCTTTTCTAATAAGGAAGGTTCTGGCCAATCTGTCCAAGAAAGGCCCGGATTCTCTTCCAGGGTGTTGTCTCTGCAGAAATGCTCCTCAGGGTGGAAGGTACTGCTGCAGCAAGGGATGTCCCCTGAGTTTTCAGGTATGTAGTCTGTGGTGAGAGAAAGGCAGGAGAGGAAAACTCAAGCTTCTGCTTCTCCCAGGCACAGGTCCTTAAGCTCCTCTCTAGCCACTTTCCTTCCAAAGTCAAAGGCACCAACTATTAATCCCTCTCTGGTGGGATGCCTTCCTCCTTCCCCAGGCACCACAAGTCCCTACAGCCCGCTCCTTGCTCTGAGGCTGGCCCATCCCTCCAGCCTCACCTGTGGCTGCAGCAGGTGAACACTCCTCACACTCCCATTTCTTACTGTTGGATCTAAGAGAGGAGCAGTCCCTGTGGGTTCCGTGGGATCCGCATGTATCGCACAGAATGAGGCACCACCTCCTACAGGAAGAGCCCAGGAAGGATTGTGGAGACATACAGAACACTAACTGCCATTCTTGGATGTTTGCTATGGGCCAGGCATTTTTTACGGCACATTTTACCCACCATGAATGTATGGCTCAGAGGGGATAAGTGCTGATCCCGGGAACCTGCCATCAGTCATAACCCCTTGAAAGGTAGATTAGGAAAAAGGAATTGGCTCTGAATGTCTCTCCACTGGGCACAAGGTGAGTGGATCTTGCAGGGGAGACCTGTTCACTTGCACACAAGTGAGTCAGGGGCTGGTCAAGAATGAGACTTAGCAATTGTGTTTATCCTAAGGTCTGCATACAAGAGTGAATTTCTTACTTCTAGTAACTGTGCCAAGGTCTAACTCTAAGATAGCACTGATGAGAGCTCTTTCTAGCCAGAATCCTTCTCCTACCCTTCATCCTCAAAGCTGTCTCTGCCTTGTTCATACAGACAGATGGGGGCATCACAGTGCTGATAGCGCTGATATAAGTCTGAGAAAGCCCCTGGCTCGAGTTCCCAGGCAGCATCTCTGCAGTGGGAGAAAAAACAGTGAATAAGAACTTAACGGGTTGGTGAAACTTTTGTCCATCAGGGAGGAATTAGGAAGAACCCCAAGCTAAGCACAGTAAGAGTTCAGTAGGCTGCCCAAACACTTCCAACAAGGCTGGTCAAGTGGCCTGGCAGTGGGAGAGGGTTGAAGCAGGATGAATGGAACATGCATGCGGGTTCCTTAGTTCCACTGTGGAATCCAAGAACTCAACCACCCAGGGAATTCTGATTCCCCAAATGCCCTTTTTAGCAACAAGCACCCGCTTCCCCCACAAACTTCTTTCCCCTCCCTTGTTTTGATAATTGAAAAGCACTCCCTCCTCCCCTTCCTTCTTCACTATCAGAGCCTCTGCTGCTCTCATTCTCTGAACTATCCTCTCACTCACCTCCTCTCTAGAAATCTAGGCAACCCTCTCCCTGGCTCAGTTCCTGCTCTGGGGTTCCCACTACCTGTCTGGAATATGAATTCCCATTCTCAGCATTTCTTGAGGAAATTCTTTTCGATTGTTACACTGTGGACATTTGAAGAAATGCTTTGCTGATGTGTGGGCATATTTCTGTAAGAGAAACAGGTAAGAGCTTTGTGTTTATAAAAACCCTTTGACTACCTTCTTTCCCCTCCCACCCTCACCCCCACAAAGAGGATGTTGCTAAGAGAGTTTGACTGACGGTACAGGAAAAGGAGTTTGGGTGGGCTAGGGTGAGGACTGCAAATCCAGGTGTCAGACCTGGGACCAAAATACTTTCAAGAGAATTCCCAGGAGTGCCTCAGCCGTCATCTCTGGCCATGGGGCTCGACAGTACTAAGTAGGGGTCAGGTACCTGGATACACATTTGCCTTTTCTTTCATCCCAGGAAGTGAGGCTGACAGGGAGGCTCCTCAGCTCATTCTGGGATGAGCCCATTTGCTCTAGCAATGCCGAAGATTTTGCTTATTCTAAATCTTATGTGTGAGGTCCTATAGGTCAGGAATGACCACAGACTGGACTGACTTTCTTCTAACTGCCTGAAACCAGCCCTGAATACAGGCCTCCAGCATGGAGCACCAAAGCTGAGGCACGCCTGAGGCACGCCCAGGGTGCTCTGGTTCCAGGCAGAGAACCAGGGCAATGGTGGAAGGGCCCCAGGGCAGAAACAGCCCCACCTGTATGCACTTGCGGTGGTAGATGGCTTGACTACAACATGGGCTCTGGATGTTCTCAACACTCTGTTGGGATAAGTCTTCACAACACAAGATGCAGCTTTCCTCTCCCATATTCCCATGTTGGATGTTCTGTGCTGGGCGATGTTTGTCACAAAATGATCTGTGGCAGGTAAACGGACTTGGTTTCTGGTTTGTCATCGATGCAGTTTCCCAATGGCCCACTCTAGGAGGGGCAGCCAGCCACCCGGGTTGGTGCCCAGTGAACCTCCACACTCATGGGGAAGAGGAGAGGCAGGGTGAAGAACAGCCACATGCCTTCTCACGGCTGCTCGCCTATTGAGCAAAGTTCCCAGAACTGTCTCCATAGCCTCTTGTTCCTGAAAGCCCCACTTAGTGCTGAGCAGCTGTCTAAGTACCCCAGCTGTTTGTAATTTAAGGAGGGGGCAGGAAGCAAGAAGAAACCCCTGTGAAATCTCCAAGTCAAGACACTGTTTCTTATTACTGAATGGAGGGACAGATTCACTGGTGAATCAAAACAGGCCTGCTTGTGAGAACCGGACTCTGATTTCATTAGTGGCTGAAAAACAAGTTGCAAAAAGGAAGCCGGACTTTTCCCCTTCCTCACTCACTTGTACTCTCCAAAAAATTGTGAAAGGCAACCCTTTTCTTGGCCACAAGGCAGATGGAAGTTTCTGATACACTGATCCTTCTGGCAGTTGATAGCAGCTCCCTTTTTCTTGCACACAAAGCAGATCTGCAAATGAGTTCCCAGACAGTGCTCAGGACCCCAAGAAAGGCAAATAGACACAGTGTGGGACATTTTTCTATTAAATGGAAGTTTTGTGAAATAATAGCCATTCCCTTTCCTCGGTGGTCCTGAATGCTCTGGGGCACCTGGAAGCTGAGCTTCAAGCAGCACTGAGTTCTTTCCTGTTTTCTCAAGATGTTTCTCCCTCTTCTCACTTAGGACACCATACCCCAGAGGAATATGGGACTTAAGGACTAGTTGGAAAATCCAAGAGTCCTTTGATGTCTAAACTAGGAAGTAGGGAAGAGAATAGAAACAGGAATGGTGTTGGTATGAAGTGAGGTATGAAAAGAGGCCTACCCCAAGGTCCTCACTTCAGGGGATTCTAACCTTCCTAGAAGCCCGAGCTGCCTCCTTTTTGATATCTTCAGGCAGGAATCCATGGAAACCTCTGTTGGACTGGCCCCTCTGAGGCAGCTTACTAGATAAGATCTGGGGGGCAGTAGAACCAGGCTGTTAATATTGATCAGTGAAACAGTGCAGTGAGGTGAGGAGAAAGACAGGGTAAGAGAGCTAAAGAATAGAGATTGGGCTGAGCGCGGTGGCTTACGCCTGAAATGCCAGCACTTTGGGAGGCCGAGGCGGGCGGATCACAAGGTCAGGAGATGGAGACCATCCTGGCTAACACGGTGAAACCCTGTCTCTACTAAAAATACAAAAAAAAATTAGCTGGGCGTGTTG